ATTATTGTCACGTACTTTATTTTTTCATTAAGTTATTGATTTTTACACATGCATCAGCATACCACATTTATCAATAATACAATACTATCATAATATCATGTATGGTATCAACTCATTCGTTTTAATAATTTTGTGTACACTATTTGTATATACCAACTATACTACTTATTTACCAGGTACTGTTTAACTTTTAATTCATATATTTTGTAAGTACGTATATCACTATTAAAGATATGAGTTTATACATAATGACTATTGTGCAGGTTTACGTTGTGTCTTTTTAAATATTTAATTTTGTGATTTCTTAATGCGGTTCAGCTCTATAAATCATATTCAAAACTATAATGACATAATAGTAAAGAACAATTGGTAATATGACATATGTATCGCGTAAGCACATGTAAATCGAATTTTTAAATTTTCTCCTCTTTTTCTACAAATGACAGACCAACTTAATAAAGTCAGCTAAGTTGAGTAAGTTAACCAATTTGTTTTAACTAATTTAAGTTATTTTTAAATAAAAATAAATTTGGGTATAAAAACGAGTAACTAAACTTTGTTAAGTTACAAATGTGTAGAATAAATTAGTGATTTAAAAAACGTTTAAAAACCATGCTTAATCATTATTTTGTTTTATAATATGTTTATCTTTTTATAAATTTACTATACAATACTTATGTAGTGTAGATATTCCATTGGCCACATGCTAATTCTTATTGTTATGTGATCATAATATCCACGTAAAATTACGTAATTTTCGTCAAAAAAATATAGGTACACATTTTTTTATACAAGCACTTATGTAAATAACTTTTTAGAAATAATCAATTTAAATTTTAACAAAATAACTGTTAAATTAAAATAATTTATTTAAAGAAAACACTAAATTATTATCTAACATGCATTAATTAAATAAACTAGAAGTTATCAAAAACAGTAGCTAAAAATAACTTAACTTTTTACGTTTTAACTACCTAGTTACTTACTGCTCAGCTTTGTCAATGTATACCTGACAACTTCTTATAAACTTAATTTCAATTGAATTTATTTTAAAACTTCTTAGAAAAGCTATATTTATCGAAATAGTAAAAATTACTGAATTCTAAATAAATTAGTGTAACTTAATTTGAAATAAAAATCCAAATCTACATATAAATACGAATATGTTTTATTGTCTACCCCACCCTTGTAAATATGTTTTGTTATACAATGAATAACACTGAAATAAAGCGTGTAAAAGCAAATAAATCCGTAATAGGTAGGTCGGTAAGTAGGTACTTATAATAATTAACAAAAATATTTTCGATTTAAAATACCTAAAAACAAAATGAATTGTTTCACAATTTTATATATTGTTAAAAACTGTAAAAATTTGGTTAAAATAGGAACTGATTTTACTTGTTTATCACACTAGGTATGTGATTTTTAGATTCTGAGCGAATCGAGGAACGTATTGGTTTTACAATGATGTTTATTAGTTTTTTTTTTCTATGAACATTTTTATACCAGCAATTTCGCTCCAATTTTAGAGTAAAGCACGAATTTCTAATAGGAAATCCGTATGTCCGTATGTCCGTATATGTCCGTCTTTTTTATCATTTATTTATTATCGTACCTATATGACCATTATTTTATCATAATACAGCGATTATCTTAGTAAAAAGTGTTTTAATATTCAAACATTTTGCATTATTTATGTGATTAAAATAACTACATATCTATTATTGAACTTTCTCAACAACACGTAATAGGCATTTATGTCATGCATACTTATTATTTTAAAAAACTTTTCTTAGTTATGAAATGTTTAATATTAAACATTACATTTTTGGTAGGTAATGCCAATAGATGTATGGCGGAAATGCCGTTCTAATTTGTACCAATTTTCAAACAACCAAACCTTTAACGTCTTTCCGATAGTATTCTTCAACTTATTTTTGAGTACGTTGCAGGACACGCCATGTGGTCGCAATAGAACATATTATTACCCAATAGTACCGAATGGCCTCTAGCAACATAAATGACAAATAAAAAGGCCGAAATCATCGAGTGCACTCGTACTACGGCTTTTTTTTTCCACAGTAACGAACCTATTCTTTATACCATGTATTTCCTATATACGTGAAGAGAAAACCGGATGACTCGAATATCCCCACCCGCTGAGAATTCACTTTGTATATATATATATATATATGTATATGTATATCGATTTTTAAAATGCCCCGACTGGGGACGTACCCCACTAAAAGTACATCGAATAGTATGGAAAATTATCGACTGAGATTATTCTCTAAAACGATACAACGATATGGTGTTTCCGTTCGCTATGGGTCGCAAGAAACAATTTGCAGTTTCCTATCATAACCGTAGCGATAATCGTATTCCCAATGTGATGTTATAACATTGTTTCGAACGAACACTAGGTGAGAACGTAAGGTTAACTACATAATTTAAATAACATAGTATACGTCAAACGATATTAATTAGTAATGACAATAACAACAACCGATTAAATTATCGTAAACTTAAAACTTTTTTCGAAAATTAACGATTCAACAATAGTTAACATTTGTTGCACCAAAATATTTTGTATAAAAATAAATGTATGAAATTACTATTTTGGATTTTGTAAATAGAAATGTATAATATATAAAAACCATAGCGTAAGGATCAGGCAATTGTTGCAAAAAAGAAAAATTATTGAACGGAAGAAAAGTTAATATTTTTGTCAGTTCTCCGGGCCAGAAGACATCCTGTATACACTCTACGAACATATTATATGTATACATAAAAAAGCCGATCGGTTTTTGTTTACCCGTGATGTGAGTTTCCGAAAAACAAGGAAACGAGCCAATGATATATTATGTTTTTCCCCTGAACGTCACCAATTTATTTAATAATAGAATATAGGGAGTGTCGTAGGAATGATTATGTAAATCTTATAGGTTATACTTACCTTTGTAATATTATAAAGTTAAAATATTTGTTTGTATGATTGTTATGGATAAGCTGAAAAACAGGGAGTTTGTAATTTGCACCAAAATAAATATATATGCAATTTGCACCGCTACAGGAGGCCGATAATAGTGTTTGTAATTTGCATGAATTCGATTGTCAAATGCATATTCGATTGACCCACAGTGGTATAAAAGAAAATTCTAGATGAACTATGCTAATATTTTTAAAAATCCAAAAATTATTGTTTTCTTTAAGATAAGTTAATGTTTACAATATTCTGTCTCTAAAGAATTTATTAAATAATATACACTCGTTTTAAAAAACATTATTATTACAATATTCGACTGGTATTTTTAAACTTTCATATGTTTATGTGTTATTTCATTTTCTCATTTAAATTGATAAAATATGTTTATATTTGATTTCTGGGATTCCTCACTGCCCGCCACCTTATCTGGTAATCAATTCAAAATTTTACATTCGATATTTTATCGTAATCGCATAATTTATTATTTTGTTAAAATACTAATCTAAGTCTTTTCGACTTTTCATTTTTAGCACAAAAATATTAAATTATATTTTCGCCTAAAATAATATAATTGTTATAATATTATATAATATATCTGTCATATCATATTATTGTTATAAAGTAGCTTTTAAGTCAATATTGACGTACCGTAAAACGGTGTAAATAGGTAAGTGAAATATCCACTCGGAAACCACTGAACGGAATATTCTGTGTTTTCAGCTTCTCATATTTCAATATATTTTACTCTATTATCAAAACTTATTCGTAGATACTATCGAGAGAATAATCGATTTTAATTTTGGTGCAAATTAAAATTCCTATTTCTTACTACCTGAGATAGTGCAAATTACAAGCGCAGTTAAAAAATGTTGGTGCAAATAACACATAATATACATATTTAGGACCAATTTCGGTGCAAATTGACTACACCCCAAAAACCACATAACTGATTTTAAATTTTTTTACACTTACAATAAGCTGCACTATCAGCGAGTAACATGGGCTGTGTTTTATTTTCAAAAAATTAGAGATTCAAACGGAAATTGCAATAATTAAGTTTTAGGTATTTTTGGTACGAATATCTAATTGTTTATTTATTTATTTTTGTTTTTTCGTGGATTACCTTGGTGACATAGGTGAAAATTATATGGCTATCACAAACAAAGAAGATTATTATTTACACTATTATCTAGCATACTGGAATAGGAAAACATCACTGGGTCAGCTAGTGTTATATAAATTATATCACTGAACAGTGAATAAGGCTAAATATATAATCTATAAGTTATATAAAAAAGAATGTCTGTCTGTCTGTCCTTTATAAACTCAAACATTACTGGATCGATTTTAACGGGGAATTTGCAAAATGTTCCACGTGGTCTGAAGAAGGTTAATAGGTATTGAAATTTCTAAAATTCAATTCTTAAAAGATAGCTAACAGGGATTTTGATATTTTGTAATATAATTTTTGTTGATTAGGTTACAAAGTAACAAAGTAAATATTATTATTATTATTTTATTTTTTTTTTTTTTTTTTTT